GGACGCTCAGGCTAATTGAAAGCCTGGGCGTGCTGCCAAAAGCCATTAACCCTTCAACTCTATTATTCTATGTTCCCTATGTTCTAAATTGGGTTCTTCACAGCATAAGCAATACAGCTGGCTGGACCACACATGCATTACATTCACAGCAGTGGTGAAATCTAAAATTTGTTACTACCAGTTCTGTGGGCGTGGCTTGGTGGGGGGGTAATGTGACTGGGTGGGCGTGGCCAATTTTTTTTTTAACTTTTAAAACCATTTTTTTCTACAACCTCCTTGGCCGAAGAGGTTGTTAAAAAAATGCTTTTAAAAGGCTCTGACAATCCCAGCTGAGTTGCCTGATCGTCAGAGGCTTTTAAAAGAAAAAAAGCCTCTGCCAATCAGGCAACTCAGTTGGGATCGTCAGAGCCTTTTAAAAGCATTTTTTTAACAACCTCTTCGGCCAAAGAGGTTGTAGAAAAAATGGTTTTAAAAGAAAAAAAGCCTCTGCGGATCAGGCAACTCAGCTTGGATCGTCAGAGGCTTTTAAAAGAAAAAAAGCCTCTGCGGATCAGGCAACTCAGCTTGGATCGTCAGAGGCTTTTAAAAGAAAAAAAGCCTCTGCTGGTCAGGCAACTCAGCTGGGATTGTCAGAGGCTTTTAAAAGCATTTTTTCTACAACCTTAAAAGCCTCTGACGATCACAGCTGAGCAGCGCGATCATCAGAGGCTTTTTTTTTTTACTTTTAAAAGCATTTTTTCGGCAAAGAGGTTGTAGAAAAAACTAAGTAGACTGTTAAGTGGTTCTTGGCTGTCTGCCCAGAGCTATTAACTGAAGGGAGAGAGAGGGGAAAAAAAACCTCTCTTGCACTTTATTTTCAGCTGCTTCTCCGAACTGCACAAGCTAACAGTTTGGGCAAACTGGTGCAAACAGGCTGAATCCCACCACTGTGTTTGTCCCATCCTTGCTGGAGGTTGCTTGTGGGTTGCCCTGTGCATGTAGACTATAAAAGAGTTGAAATGTATTCCTTACAAGACAAGGTAGGCCCAAAGTGAACACTTATTCAGGTAACACATTTCATAAAGGTATTATTTTTAGAAACATGGAAATTGACTTTCAGTAAATATACTTTACATTATTATTTTGAAAGTTGGGGGAGGAGTGATAGTTTTAAAAAGATTTTAAGACAACGTACTGTCCCATTTTGTTCCCCCTCCCTTCAACACAAAAATCTTCAAGAGGAAAGAACAGATGGAATTTACATTATAAAAAACAAATTACAAAGAGCAGTAGACCATTGTTGACATAAAGGTAATGGGAAAGAGAAATTCCCATTCTGAAGCTTTCCATTTTCCTGTTCTTCCTCCCCTATTGACATTTCTGTTACTATACAAAGAACTATTTCTGTTATTCAATTCATGGATGTAAAACATTGTAGCTTAGCAAATAAATTCATATATAGTAAGAATGATGGTTCCCTATATGGGTGGACATACAACCCCCTGCCTTGTGCAAGGGTTTGGACTACAAAACCTCCAAGATCCCTTCCCACCTTATGATTCTCTACTAAAAGAGGCAGCAAACTCTTGGCCCATTCCAAACTTCTAAATTCTAATTTAAATTCTAATTTAATCATATCTTTATACATAGCTACTATATTTTGATTTAACTTACAAATATTATATCCTGTAGAAAAAGACTTATAGTTTATTGGATCTCAAGGTTCTCTTAATGACTAAGATTAACTTCAGATATTAAACTTTTGGGAGCTATTTTTACAAGAAGCTTTTTTCTATACTTTTTATTTTATTTATTTATTTAATTTTTATCTTGCCTTTTATTACTTTGTAAGTATCTCAAGGTGATGAATCCCATACCTAATACTCCTTCCTCCTCCTATTTTCCCCACAACAATAATCCTGTGAGGTGGATTGAACTGAGAGTGTTCATTTAGGCTTTCAGGCAGAGATATCTTTGCAGAAACAAATTGCTTTAATTTTAAATTGTCTGAGTACAGCATGTTCAGATGTATTCAGATAAATGAATGGATTTAATGGTAATTGCACATTTAATGACAGAATTTCTATCATTTTCATCCAGTTAAATGCATTTGTCCAAAAATCTATGAAATATTATACAATTAACAGATATTTCTTGTGATCTCTTCAATTGCTTAGAAGGTAGATGGAAGTGAAATTTTAGTTGTTTTACTATGTAGGTCTATGTATTCAAAGGCTGAAATATGCTATGGCGCACATACAGCAACATCTGCCTGCAGTTCTGTAAAACAGCTGTGTCTTTTCCTGGGATCACAGGGTTGCTGCAGAATCCTGGGAGGAAATCTTCATACTCTACATAGACCAAAGCACCCTTTGGTCTATGTAGACCTTTGAATACAAAGCACCATCCAGCCCTAACATATAAATTTTCTGTCAACAAAGAGAAGCTAATATTCACAGTTGCTAATTGGACATCTTGATCATCACAGAGGTTTTCCCCAAGTCAGACATTCTAGGAGAAGTGATCTAAGTGCTATAAAAAAGTTTCAACGAAGCAATATTTATCAGGTTTCTCTAACTGTTACAAATATCCATATTCTTCACCTAAGATTTGCAGATTTTGTAATTTGTAACTACTTCTGAAAGTATTTAAGCTCCTGCAAAATTAAATTTTAAATTAAATGTTCTTGCCTCTTTCTTATTCTGTAGGCATTCTCTGTTGACATCATTATTCAGTTTACTTGATTATTTTTCCAATTGCAAAAATATGTAATTGAATTTTAGCATTGTATTATTTAAGAATATAATGATTGTACCTTCTTTTTCAGTTTTTATAATACTAATCGGGAGAAAATAGAATAAATCCTAAGGGTAAAAGTGTTAAAATAGAGAAGATCCTAAACAGGATACAGTGTCATTATTGAAGTCAATATACAAATATACATTTGTTAAATATAATAAAAGTTCATTGATTTCACTTGGAACAAAACATAGCATTACACTGAAGTTAACTGCAACCCACAATCTGTTTAATAGGTTTAATCGGGTGATAGACAGATTCTCCAGCAATAATCCTAATAGCTCTTCCAAGGATAATCTTGTAATCTCTTTCATTATTTTGATCCTTCTGCTCTCTCTGATATGTTCCCCTTTTACTTCCTTCAAGCTTAATAATTACTTTGCTAGTCCAATATTCACTCACATTTTAGGCCTAAGCATGTGAATTTATGTTTGCTGATCAGTGCTCCAAGGGAGCAGACAGGACTGATGGATTGATTTTTCTTGCTATTCTTATTATTTGCCTTCAAATTTATAATTCAAAGGCATTGACTTTTTTGTTCTTTCTCAGAATCCTGCTTTCATAGCCATATGAAATACCGTCACTTAAACTATTCTGATATTTATTGCCATTGAAAAAGCCTTATTCATATAGTGTTGCCTAAGTTTTTCATTCCCTTCCACACTAGAGAATTACTCTCCCTTTTATTTCTCATGTACATTGCCTATCTTTATTGGCTTTTTATTTGCCATTAGTTGTAAACTCACTAAACATATAGCCTAGCACAGGGGTGGGTTCTACTTACCTTTACTACAGGTTTGCATTCTTGGTGTAAAAACATATTTTAAAACCCCTCACTGAAAAAAATTCAAAAATTAATTTTCACCCCATTAAATGACATGCCCTAATTGTCTTAATAACTAAAATGGGTGCACAATTTATAAATAAGGGGAATGGATTTTTAAAAACAAAAGGAAGGAATATAAAGCTGGCTTATTTGATCAAAGTTAAAATATATATGATGTTTTTTCTAGTTGTCTTTAATGGGTTTCTAAGAACAACCAGGACTAGACTTTAAAGATTTATTTATAGATATGAGATGACTGTTTTGTTGTATTTTGAAAGAAAGTGGTAAGCTATGTTGTTAGAAGTAAAAGAAAAGATTACAAAATTAGCTTATTTGATTAAGGTTAAAATATGTGGTTTTTTGGTATCTTTAAATTTGTAAAGAAATTTCTGAGGGGAGACAAAGAGAAAATGATAAGAAATTAACTTGTGAGACACTATTTGAAGGAATTAAAGATTAATCCCTTGATTAGGTCTAAATGACAAGGCTTTAAAGATTTGTTTATAGATAAGAGATAAGATATGGGAAGAGAATTTTATTGTATTAAAGAAAATTCTAAGTTACTGCGTTAAAAGGAAAGGAATATGAAACTGATTTGTTTGATTAAGGTTAAAACATATGTTGATATTTCTAGTTACTCTTAGGCTTTATAATTTGTTTATATATAAGAAATGGAATACGGGAAGAAGAGATATTTTGTTGAAATGTTAGAGCAGGTAATACAGGTAGTCCTCGGTTTACAGCAGTTCTTTAGTGACTGTTTGAAGTTATAATGGCACTGAAAAAAGTGTCTCATGACTGTTTTTCACACTTACAACCATTGCAGCATCCCTGTGGTCACATGACCACAATTCAGATGCTTGGTAACCGATTCATATTTATGATGGTTGCAATGTCCTGGGATCATGTGATCATCTTTTGCAATCTTCTGACAAGCAAAGTCAATGGAGAAGCCAGATGTACTTAGTTACATCTGTACATCTTAGTTACAGAACTAAGTTACTAATTTAACAACAGTTATTCACTTAACTACTATGGCAAGGATGGTCATAAAATGGAGCAAAACTCACTTAACAAATGTTTCACTTAACAACAAATTTTGGGCTCCGTTGGGAGCATAAATTGGGGAATATATGTAGTTGCTGAAATTGTTTTACTTTCTTAATGAAGGGGAAGTGCTTTCTTTATATTTTTTTTTCTTTATATTTTTTCTTTTTCCCTGCACTTTTTCTCTTTTCTCTTTTTTTTAGTTTTTCTTAGTTTTTTTTTAGCTTTGTATTTTTAAAAGTTAATAAAATCATTATTACAAAAAGAATTAGGAGTATATAACCGTAAAAGACAAAACTGAGAGTAATATGACAGTATTCTTCGAGTATCTCAAAAATGATGCACAGAAGATCGCCAAATCCTATTCTTTATTATTTCCAAGTGCAGGACAGGTTACAGAACAGCAGATTCTGATTGATTATTAGAATTTCCTAAGAGGAAGAGCAAATCGATTGTGTTGGTGATGGATTCCTCTAGATATCTTGAAGTAGAACTATTTATTCAGAGTGCCTTCATCTTGTCCAAGTTTATCTTCATTTTGCTGGCCTTCGTCCATCCTGTTACAACTCCAGACAGTTGTTCATCATTTTTTAAAACAGTATTTCAACACATTCTGGATGATTCCAAGAAATAGAGATAAACATAATCAGCATACAAATGATATGTATTTCAAATACAAGGATGAATATTTACTGCTTTTGTTTAACTGGTAGGGGGACATGGGGATTCAGATAGAACTTTTTTGAACTAACTCACAGTTCAAAATATATGCAATAAAGCAGAAAATCTTCATTATTATTGTCTGAAATTAACTTTTAAGAGAAATGGAGAATCATTACATCATTAGTACTCACTCACAGAGATCATCAAATAAAATACCAAGGCAGATGTTAACAACATCACTCAAAACGTCTGCAAAGTACTTTCCTGGTAAGTTCCTTCCCCAGTCTCCCCTAATACTAGTTTGACTTGCCTTTTTTAAGATAAAGAACAGAATTACCTGAGTTCATCATTATACACAGAAAGTTGCAAATTAAGATTTTTTTTTAATCTCAAGCACTTCACTGATAGAATTGCTTTTCCATTTTCTAAACCTTTTTACTTTATATCACAGGTCATATTGTAGCTGCTGCAAGCAATGATGGAACCGTTAAGACTTTGGAACTCAAATCGGGACATCTTTCCAGCTTATTGGGCCATGAAGATAAAGTTCAGAGTGTAATATTTGATCATATGGCAGAACATCTAATTTCAGGTGGTTCTGATGGCACTATTCGTATTTGGAATTGAGACTACTATTCAGAGAAATCTCATAGCACTGAAGGTGGCTTATAATGCCCTAATCTGAAATGAACAATTACATTTTACATTAAGTAAAATCTCTATATTTTACTTAAATGGAAACAATATTCCAAACTTTATTTTTCTTGTATCTTTCGTCATGGCTTTAAATATGTATTAAAATATATACAATTTGCCATTTTCCTGGAGAAATAGCTTTATATTGACATCTAATGACAGAAAACATGAATTGCAGAGAACCCCTACTACACCCCTTTTCTCAAGTTATTATAGTAAAAGCTACAACTGACTGTCTCATTTTGTGAAAATAATAAAATATTTAGTTTACTACAGTTTCTGCAAAGAAATTTGTTTTGGTGGGGGGAGCTTAATATTTCTCCATATAACTTTAAAAAATGTGCATGCATATACAAACACACTGAGACTTGCATGTAGCAAATGTGGTAATTTTCAGGGGGGAGGAGTTCTGCATTAACAAGGCAATAATCAGACCGATGCCTTGGTTGTTACCTTGCCAAATCATTCAGTAAATGCAGAAAGCTTCAATCTACCTATTTCCACTTCCTGTAACGTAGTCCTGCAGTATGATCCTAGTGCCTTGAAAATAAGCAGATTTTTTTTAATGAAGGTGATCATCAGATGTAGATAACATTTAGGAGGCATTTTATAAAATACCTTTTCCTTAAGAAAAGTGCCTAAGGATAAATCTAACGCCAGTGAGCAAATGCATCGGACTGGGTGGGGGAGATGGGGGGGGAGGTGCTGCTCAGAGGAGCGGCACGTTCTGCCTGCATGATGCAAAATGAGAGTCACAGGCTGCTGTCCGTGGTGCTGAAGATTTCCAACTGCTTGATGGAATGCCCTCCGGAGGAATAGCTGTTGGGCTGCTGCTATCCAGGATACTGAATCTTGCTGAAAGTTGTTATTGTGAATAAGAGCCACAAGAACCCCACTGCTTGTTTGGGGAAGAGCCTCTAGAAAGCAGCATAGCATGATGGTGCTGCTGACTGCATTTCAGTCTGGATTGGCTCTGAGCATGCTGGTGCTGTTTCTGGAATTGGAAGCATAGCATATTCTCCACCCTTCTGTGCCTTTTTGCTGATATACAGAAAATAGTGATTTAGTGGGATTTTTTTTATTTTATTTTTTATGGACCTGAAGACTGCAACCAAGGAAATAGATTTTTAAAAATCCTAGAAGGATGATTCTTTTATTTTTTGTTTTTATTGTTTTGGACTCTTATTTTGTATAAAGCAGTCTCATCTTTGGACCCTTTTATGATTGATTGCTTTGAATTTTGAACAGTTGGTTAAAGCTTACATCTCTTGGGTATCTGCTGATGTTCCTCTGTGACATGGGAGGCTTTAGAACAATTTTTTTTTCATAATCCTCCCTTACCAATATAATTAAGAAGAGTTTTTTTTCTACTATATTGCTGAAGTACAAATCCATTGTGGTTTGTGACTCTTCCTACCATTCACTCTAGGTAAGTGCCCATTTTAAAAGAAAAGGATATTGATTTCCCAAATATTTAATTGTACCTTAATATCACATATCAGAAACAAAATAAATGTAAATAATATAAGTTTTTGGTTTGATTCTTAATCAAGGGACCTCATTATCATTCCATTTTTTCTTTTTATCAAAATAAAGATTTATAAATTGTAAGCAAAATATTTAGGATGATCAACTACTGCAGTGAAATCTTGTACCATTTCTGAAATGGATTTTGCTTTTGGCCAAATGCCTGACAAAATTGAGTGAATCCTGCTGTCCCTAAAATTAATTGCTTCTTTTGAATTTGCTAAAAAAATAAGTTTCCTCAGCTTTAAGTACGGCAGACTGAAGCCTACCTGTAGAATGCAAGTGACTGTCTATTCAGATCTGAAAGGGAAGCTAAACAGTTTTATATTATCCAGAAATAAAATACTGTGATTGTAAGAAAGGCTTCCATAATTGCAGTAAAATTTACCATTGTAGTAAAATCATATCCTAGAGCATAAGCAATGAGACAGCAAGCTTTTGAAATGCACAGTCTTTCTTTATAGAAGCATTTTAAGAGACTACTTTGTCAACCAAATTATTTTACTACTTCTGTAAGGTACAAAGATTGCCTATTCTCTGAGTCATTTCTGTTGGGCACTGAAATAATATATAAATCAATATAAATATATAAATAATGTATATACATTTTGCATTTGTTTGACTATGAGAACCATAATTCTATTGCTATTGGAATCTGCACAGGTATAATATTAATTACTAACCCATTTGATCCCATAGTATCAGACAAGCAGAATAGACAAGGCTTTTGTTTAGTTGCATGTTTCATATTCAATTAATTAAAATGTCACTTGACACTAGAACATTTTATTATAAATTTCATTATAAATTATTTCATTATAAGATATTTTACTGTCCAAATTCATAAAAAAGAGGAAATCAGTCTTCAAATCTTTGGTTAGAAGAACTATACCAGCGTAAGAGCAATGTGCCAATGTGAGGGGTGCATTATTGACTATAATCAATAGGAAAACAGGAAAATAGAAGTAATGTCTAACAAAGCAGCAAGGCTTTTTGCAATTTCAAATTAAATATGTGGTGTGAATTATGGGTTCTCCATGCACATATAGATGTATAAGAAAATGAAGTGGCATGGCCTACAGAGAAATTCTGTACACCTACTGGCTTTGAACTGCATATGGTGAGTAAGGTATCACATTTGTAACAATTTGCTGAAATGCCATTTCAGAAACCTAAAAAAGAGACAGAAAATGTAAAAGCAGGAGAAAAATAAACTGGTAGATACAAGTATAAGCACAGATATATATGGGCAACTACTACTGGATCTTGATGTGACGTCAATCTCCTGGAGAGCACAATGGAGGTCTTGCTAAGAAAAAGCCAGCATGAACCAGTTTTAAGGACAGATTACAGTATACAGTGTAAAAATTCTGCAATCTTAAATGATTAAACCTCCTAGTATCTTAAATATAATTTGATTGTAAAGGCTCTTTAAAATGCAAAGGCTCTTTTAATTTTATTTTTCATGAAAACACATATTTTGAATGGTGTTGGACACTTGACCTGGGTTGGAAGCAATATCTTTGCTCTTAGTCCCATCCTTGAAAGAATCATTTACAACAATTTAGCAAAAACAAAAAGTATTATATCTGTAAGTAATAAATGTGCAAGCCATCCAATAAAATAAGTTTGATTTGCAATTGTTTACAATATAAATATTCAACATGGTAATTAGATAAGAACCTGGCTAATATAAAGATGCAGCATCTTATTTTCATCTTACTTAACAAGCAGGCAAAATGACCAAAAAAAAACATTTTCTCATACTTTTCTATTTACAACAATGAGTCATATGAAGAAAAGCTTGAATCAAAAATATGGCAAGGAATTTTTTTGCATTATTGCTTTAATTTGATGAGAATATTGTTCTATTTTACTTTCAAACTAAAATATTGAAATGCACAGGGGCACATGCCATTGAAATGAAGATGAATCAACAGTTCCTTGCAACAGAAAAGAGCCTGTGCAACTTGAAGACTATTCAGGTTATATGCATGTTTTCCTGTTGGTTATTACTGCAGACAGAATGGAAATATAGATTGGTTTACTTTGCTTTCTTAAAAGTTGATAGAAGATAGGATTTCTAATGACCTAAAGCCTGGCAGATGGAAGGGTCACAAAGGAGTAGGGGAAAATGCATTTTTTGAAAAAAAAAATTCAATTTCTTTTTTATATATATGTTTTCAGTGCATCACATTGGCCTCTCCATGGAAGCATCCATACATATCTGATATAAGCGCCATACTCAGAAGCTCAGGAGAGGGAATGGCTCTTCATATTCATGAAGCCTACATATTTCTGTTGCTAATTCCTTCTTTGGTCACCTCAGCTGCTTTCAATCATGAAGACTACCCTGCTGATGAAGGTGATCAGGTTTCAAATAATGATAACAATCTGATTTTTGATGACTATCGGGGGAAAGGATGTGTAGATGACAGTGGTTTTGTATACAAACTTGGGGAGCGTTTTTTCCCTGGGCACTCCAACTGTCCATGTGTTTGTACCGAGGATGGGCCTATTTGTGATCAACCAGAATGCCCCAAAATCCACCCAAAGTGTACTAAAGTAGAACACAATGGATGTTGTCCAGAATGCAAAGAAGTGAAGAACTTTTGTGAATACCATGGGAAAAGTTACAAAATCCTAGAGGAGTTTAAGGTAAGACCAAACAATGCTTATTGATGTAATCACTTGGTTGATTATGTACAGACAGTGTCAAATGCTATGTTAATCAGGTTTTATATAGATTTTTTCCAAACTCATAACATTAATTGTAATTTCTGTAAGTAGTTGGTGATCTGCCATACTAGTTAATGGATATCATACAGGTCAGGGAAAAATAGGATATGAAAAGGAAACATAATTACCAATTTTACTTCATAGGTATCCAGTTGTAGGGTTTCCATTTAAGCCAATGTTTTAATTGTATACTTTTCTGTTCAAAATCCTTGGATGAAATAAAGCCCAGAGCTATGAATTAAATCAAAGAAGTATGTCAGTCCAAATATTTCTTCTAATAAAATATGTTAGATTTCTTGCTTCGTGCATCACAGGAATATAATATAGACACCAATTTAGCTGTTTGGCTGACTGAAACTTAACAAGAGAAATACAAAGTTGTTCACTGAAGCAAACAAAATGTATAATGTGCAACAAGGGATGTCTGGCCTAGTAATAATACTTCTGAAAATATTTGATTAATAACAAGCTAAGTGTCTGCAATGTGACATTGCTTCAAAAAAGGCAAATGTAATGTTAGACTACATATTGTAACAAAAGTATAATTTTAAAATTATGAAAGAAAGTTGCTCCATTTTATTTTCATTGACCAGATCCCAAATACTATGTTAAGTTCTAGACATAGGCTTTTGGAAGAATTCAGGCAGCATGGAACATGCTTAGAAATGGCCAAGGACTATGATCAGAGGACTAGGTATCAAGTCCCATGAGAAGAGATTGAAGGAATTAGAATGTCTAGTCTTGAGAAGATTCAGGGAGGATGTGACACTGTGACAGTATTCTTCAACTATCTGAATGGATGTCACATGAGGAAAGTGAAACGATTCTCTGTTATGTCAGAGTAGCAATAAGGGATTAATTTATAGAAAAACAAATTTTCTTTCTCTGAAGTATTCAAACAAAATGGACAAGCATGCTTTCATATGGATTCCTGCCCAAAATGATTCTCGTTCAAGGATTCTTTAAGCATAGTTCTCCAAGACTTCCTTTCCAAAGCTTGAATGATTTTTTTTTAGTGATGCTGCCAATATGGCCCTTACATTCCTCACCTTGTTCTTTATCTAAAGACATATTTTAGATTTAATGACACCTGGTATTTACTATCAATTACGTATGATTTTAAAGATCATTTGTTATGGCAGCTCCTTGCTCCTTTAATCAGGATAATAAGCAGAAAACTGCTATTTTAGTTATAAGAGTCATTGCGGAAAAATATTCGTGATCAGTAAATTTGCACATTGTGGGCACAATCTAGGCAAGTTTAGTTAAGAGGATAGAAAGATTGTAAGAGACTTATAATTCCATGCCCTATCTTATTCCAGATTGCTTTGTTCCCCTGCTGTTCCTTGTCAGTAGAATCATTGGAGAGGGGTGATTTTGTCTTCTCTATTTCTTAAGCAAGCTTACTCCAAGTTGCTTCAGCTCTTACTAACATGGTTCTGTCATTGAGAAATGTGAAAAGTACTTCCAAAGCACAGTGCATTGCAAACCATGTACTACTCCCATATGAAATCCAAAAAACACTTCAGGGAGATGAAAATAATTTAATAAATAAAAAGATATTTTGATAAAATAAAATTTCAGTAAGACAGCTAAGCATATTTTATTAAAATAAATGAAAATTGGAAAGAACCATATTTTCTCTTTCTCCACACAAGTCATAATATGGAATAATCAGGAATTCTTAAGTGTATGAAAAAATTATCTGCTTTAGGATATTTCAAATATCTTTTTCAAATTTCCAGTCAGCTCTGATGGTCTGTTCTAGTGGAAATTGTTCACCTCTTCCCATTATTATTAGAGAATTTTTAAACACTATTGGCTGAATTGTTGTGAACATTGCTATGAAAGTTGTCATGAAAGTTTGAATGTGTGAATTCATGTTTGCATAACAGTAGCTCCATAAAAGCATGGCTGAATGCTGTTATTTTGATGTGGCAATTTGTTCAGATGAAATGGTTCTCCATAGAGGATAAGTACCGGTAATCACTTTTTAAAATAATAAATCCATTTCAGCTTGCCAGAGCTTGCCAGAGCTATATAAAGGACCCTTCCAGTAATGATATGTGGGAATGGTCTTGAGAGACAGTGCAAAAGAGACACAACTAAAGGAGCAACTGAGAAATTCTTGCAGTGCAAGAGACTCAGAAGAGACCTTCCCTAGGTTTGTGGCTGTAAAGGGGTTTGGAAGATGCAGGTACCCTCAGATCTGCAAGATTCGATTAAGGCAACCTTGTAATAAAGTACAATTAGCTCTCTGGTCATGTTTTCTGTTTAGTCTATCTTGTAAAGCTGACATTTCCTCACAAAGAAACTTGTATAAGAATTAAGTTGAAATGTCTATGGACAAAAACTCATCAGGCTAAGTAATCAGCTGCTGAGTTAGAGACATACAGCAATTTTTTAAAGTTTCAGCTAAGCTTTTGTTTGCTTCAGGATCATTGCCTTTAGTGGAAATTGACATTCTACATCTGGGAGAAATGTACTGGTTTGTTGATTAGTGAAATTATTTATCCAGTAAAATAACATTTCAAAATAAATCTTTCCACATATGACAGCCTCTGACTTTGCATGCTTATTAAGAATATGTCAGTAAAAATATTCCAATTATGGACAAGAATCTTCTTATAAATAAATTACAAAATAAAATAATCCAAACAAAATTAATTTATAGACTTACATGAGTTTATTACTTCCATTGGGACAAGTTTGTGTTAACTATCCTCCAGGATTTTCACAGATAGGTCAACCTCTGCACCCTCTGCACCCTCTGGCCATTTTAGTTGGAGGATCGGGAAGGGGAAAGTATATGTCAGGCAAGAGTGACATTGCATGATGGGTTGGCTTCAAGAAGCCCACTCATAAAGCAATAATTGAATCTCAGGTATTTCTAGGCAATAATAAAATTAGAAAAAAGGGGAAAATTTCATATTTCAAAGATCTGTTTTTAGCATGACATGATTAATTTCAAATCACACTGAAGTGGCAACTGTGAATTTACAATTCCTCCTTTCATTTTATAATTCAGAGCAAGATTCTGCAATATAAATTAAGAATACTATAATAGGATTGCCCAATCTACGAAACAAACTAATAATTTTCTACAAATATGAAGAACAAACTAAAAAAATTAGTTCAGTCCATGGTCAGTATATGCACAATTATTTACCTAAGGAGAATTAAATAGTAATTTAGCTGAACAGAGATTGAGAGGAATCGAACAACTGTGTTCAACAGGCAAAAAATGATTTTGAGAACTACAGTGGTACCTCAGTACTCATCATTAATTAGTTCCAGGAATTGCGAGAAGTACCAAAAACAATGAGCACCAAACAAATTTCTCCCATAAGGAATAATGTAGTGGGTCAAAGGCAGTCAACATTGCACAAGTTCTAGCTTGTGCATTGAGTAGCAAACTGGGATGAGAACTGGGACAAAATGTTTACAAAATGCATTGAGTCTCAAATTCAATGAGTTTCAAAATAGTTGAGTATCAAGGTATCACTGTACTGGAATTCCTTTAGCTAGAACATAGACAATTGGCACATTTGGAATTTGGACAGCTTGTTAGGGTGTCCTCACAAAAGAGCCTCCATCATGGATGTGTTTGAAACAGTCAGAACAGTAGTGGCATGGAGAGGTGGAGTCTCAATATAAACTCACACAGATCATACTCTTTAGTATCCAATCTCAAATGAAGTTGATACCACAGATTGGTTCTTGAAGAAAAAAAAGTTTGGTAGGTTGGAGAACCCAATAAACCCCCTGGAAATAGAGCACTAATAGTCATAGGCATATATACTTCAGATGTGCCATCAGAATGTTGTGGGTGCTTCATCACTGGAAATTTTAAAGAAAAGATTGGACAACCACTTGTCTGAAATGATATAGGGTCTAGAGTCTCCTGCTTGAGCAGGGGGTTGGACTAGAAGAACTACAAGGTCCCTTCCAACCCTATTTTGACTTTCTTCTCTTACTCAGTGAGCTGTTTTATTAATATACGGTAATATCCCCCATTCGGCTTCATTTCTGCAACAATAGAGGGGGGAATGAAACAGAAGGAGTGCCAAGTCCCTCAGGTATAGTGTCAATTGCTTTTGGAAGATGGCTAAAGTTGAATCAATATAACTTTCAGTGGGAAGCTATTCCAGAGGACCAGGACTTGCCACAGAAAAGCAGCACCTACCAGAGTCAGTACTCACCACACCTCCCATAAGTGGGGAACTGGCACTGCTTTTCCCAGCAAGATTAAGCACTTTTTCAAAATTAGTCAGCAGGATGAATAGGGTTGTTTGATCTCAGCTTTTGTTTTAAAACAGGACTCTTTTAACAGCATGTTTTCCCCCAGTCCAAAGCTTAGGTTGTCAATAATGAGATTAAAGTTAAACTAATTAGAATGAGTTTGTAATTTTGTGGAAATAGCCACAACATGATTCCATTGGTAATAATAATGGTGGAAATTGTATTCAAATGGCTTGTTAGCATTCTTTCGTATTTATACCCACTTGCTGATCAAGTAAAAAAATGTAAACTCTAGGTTTATATTTTAACCAGAATTGTGGTGGTGAGGCTTATCAGAAAAATAGCTCCTATCATCATATACAGACAACTGGCATAAGACAAGCATTTCAGTGCTCAGGTGGAGAAAACTGAATGTTCTGCCATAAAGTTACCCAAATATGAATGTGCAATATTAAACAAGACTTGATGCATGGCAGCTTACCTGAGAGAGAATTTCTCAAAGGATGCAGTTTATATTCAAGAGCAGCTAAGAATGATTTGATTTCTATGTTTACATACACATCCCTGCTTTTTCATCTTAACTTTAAAAGCAGAAAGAAAAATAACAAGTTCCAGATTTTTTTTTCCAAATGCAGTTGTAAGCTACATATATCTTTTGTTGCTACCTATTTGCATGTAGTAATCAGACACATCTCGTGGTACTGGTCAACACATTCCCATTTTGTGTGGTTTAGTATCATTCATATAATTTTTATCCCTACTATCTACCTGCTCAAACATCATTTACTTTAACATTTTTTTAAAGAATAGAATACAATTCTTTATTGGCCAAGTGTGATTGGACACACAAGGAATTTGTTTTTGGTGCATATGCTCTCAGTGTACATAAAAGGAAAAAAAGAAAAAAATACATTTATCAAGAATCATAAGATACAACACTTAGTGATAGTCATAGGTTACGAATAA